TGTGTGTGTGTGTGTGTGTGTGTGTGTGTGTGTGTGTGTGTGTGTGTGTGTGTGTGTGTGTGTGTGTGTGTGTGTGTGTGTGTGTGTGTGTGTTTGTGTGTGTGTGTGTGTGTGTGTGTGTGTGTGTGTATGTGCGTGCGTGCGCGCGTGCGCATGCATGCATGAGCGTGTGTGCAATTTTACGTGTATGTGTGTGTGTTTATTACCTCCGCCAATGAGGTAATGTAATCGGTCTCGTGTGTGTGTTCGTGTGTGTGTTCGTGTGTGTGTGTAGCCACTAGTGTTCGCGCGATCGATTCAGCAGCAGCTCGCCTTAGGGCGTCGAGTCAGCAGCAGCTCGCCTTAGGGCGTCCAGTCAGCAGCAGCTCGCCTTTGGGCGTTCAGTCAGCAGCAACCAGCAGCGAGCCAGCTGTTATACACATACATGTTACATGCTGGCGGAGGTATGCACTCTCCGTGAGTGCCCTCTGTCTATAGTATTTTGTTTGTTCTTGCGTGTATGTGTGACTGCGTGCGCGCGTGTGTTCGTTTGTGCGTTCGTACGTGCGTATAGGCAAGTGCGCCCCTGTGTGATCATAAATTTTTCATGGTCATAACCTAAGTCAGCGATCAGTAATTGAGATTATACGCAATTATCTGATTACACACAATCTGATATACTATATATATATAGATGATTATCGGATTAGGCTTAACGCTATAACCGTTAGTGTAGAGAAACGTTCGAACTATATCTTTAACTTTATCGCAACGCTAAACGTACGTACAGCAACACTATGTATTAACTTTGCATGTCTTTATTTTCAATAACCCAGTAATTACCTGTGCGATACGCACACACGCACACAATATAGTTATGTGTTATAAACCTGTGGAGCAGCAGCCACATATTTATGACTATAATAAAGCGACATTATTCTTCCGGACGTTTAATAATATTTGAGTGAGACCTTTAGGTATAGGTACCATAAACGCCGAAAAGACTTTAACCTTTGCAATTACACGCTATGTAGCTATATACATAGTATACTGTGTCTGCGTACTAACATCATATCCACCATAAAATTAAAATACATTCGTATACTCTCAGGCTCATGTAAGCCTACGACGTAACATTATTGAATTCGTGGATCTGCATGTATGTAGAATCCGTGGATCTGCATGTATTGTGGAATCCGTGGATCTGCATGTCTTGTGGAATCCGTGGATCTGCATGTCTTGTGGAATCCGTGGATCTGCGTGTAATGTGGAATCCGTGCATGGATCTGCATGTATGTGGAATCCGTGGATCTGCATGTATGTGGAATCCGTGGATCTGCATGTATGTGGAATCCGTGGATCTGCATGTATGTGGAATCCGTGGATCTGCATGTATTGTGGAATCCGTGGATCTGCATGTAATGTGGAATCCGTGGATCTGCATGTATTGTGAAATCCGTGGATCTGCATGTATCATCCACCTAACAAAACTTACAAATTCGTAACTATCAGACAAGTACATTATTATATGCAGGCACAAGTACGCCTATAATATACACGCGTATAAACGTTTCGCTAATGACGAAACCGCAGCCGAACCGCTTGCATCACGTAAATGTCGGCCCCGTTGCCCGATAATTATCACACGCGCACTCAGAACATAACAGGTGCAGGAATTTCTCATGATATCCCTCTACGCGCACAAAGGCGAAAACGAAATTGGAAGACCGTCGGTCGCCTCTCGTGCCGGCATTACGGGCTTATAAATGTCATTTGGCCCGTGTCCAGCTTGTAAAACAATAAAGGCGCACGGATTTGCCTTCATGCGCGCCAGGTTGCTGGTTACATATCGTTAATCCACGCGGCGGTGAAATCTCGGCAGCTGTTGCACAAAGGCAGGCTCCGAAATCCGTTAATTGCGGCTGGAACAATGGCCGACCCGGTGGCACACGCCGCACCGCCAACCCCTTTCTCGCGGCACCGGCCGGCGCTGGGTGCAGAGTTCAACAGCACCTTGAGCACCCCTCGAGTGCGCCTGAAAGAGGGGAAGCGTGAAAGTTCGCAATCTAGAAACGCACACAAGAGCATTCCGATATGCGCGTATATATATAGACAAAGGCGCTATAGTTTACGCGTGTACGGCATCTCCGCTAAAGATGGCGGGTTATTAGTGGAGGATTAACGCGCGCGCAGACGTAGAAATAACAGACGTCGCCCTTATAGAACGCACATCGGGGGCGAGTACTGTGCCGATACGTTCACGCGTGTGTGTTGGCGTCAATTCCAACGTTATAGCGGGCCGCGGAGAGATCAGAATGACATGCGATCGAAACCTCACGCTTGTCGCATTGACAAGTCAAGTGGAACGTGAATGATTACATAAAAACAACAACAACGTTATCGTCATCACTTTCATCATCATCGTTATAAACATCATCATCATCATCGGAACAGCAGCAGCGACAGAACCAGCAGCAGCATCAGAAGTATTAGCAATAGAAGAAGCAGCGACAGAAGCAGCAGCAGCATCAGTAATATTAGCAACATCAGCACCACCATAACCACCACCACCACCACCACCACCACCACCACCACCACCACCACCACCACCACCACCACCACCACCACCACCAATAGCAGCAGCAGTATTATTAGCAGTAGCAGCAGTAGCAGCAGCATAGCCGCTGTAGCAAAAGTAGTAGTGCAGCAGCAGCAGTAGAAGTAGCAGTGACAGTAGCAGCAACAGCAGCAGCAACGACAGCAGCAGCAGCAGCAGTAGCAACAACAGCAACAGCAGCAGCAGCAGAAGGACGCTGGCTGAACACGCCGAGCGCGGCAGCAGAAGTTCCGTTATTCTCGCCCGCCGGCGTCTGCCACCGTTACAAGAGCGACAGGTGCACGGCCACGCGTTATTTATATGCTGGGGAATGCCTCCATCTGCCTCTCGTGTCGGGCTACCGCCGACAGGGGGTCGAGACGCGCACGTAATACAGAACCAGGGACTAGGGGTGCGGGAGGGCGCCGTGTGGAGGCGGTGGTTAGAGACACACGGAGGACCGCAATCCAGTGTGGATTGTACGCGGTCATTTCTGCAAACTATAATAAACCGGCATATATATTACTATATATATATATATTATATATATATAATATATATATATATATATATAATATATATATATTGTTTATAATGGGCTTATTGTGTATAGTAAAGCTAGGGTTATCCCGATGCTACTCGGGTTTTATTAGAAGTTATTACTATTAGGTTGTATTAATTTTTTACAACTGATTAATTGGTGTTAATCCGCCGCTTTTCGAGCCACCTATTAAGCGTCGTTGGGAACATTAAACTCGCTATAAATCACTTCATTTTCGCGTGTCGACGTCCGATGTATTATTGGCGCCTGCTATCTGCGTATAGCACCCCCTCCAGGCGATGATGGATGTCATTTCATATTCGAGATGACTTCAGCTGATCTAACAACGATTCGCCGACGGGAAACGATCAAATATCGAATTAATTTCGTGCAATTACACCGTCAATGTTCGGTTGATAACGGCTGCACACTCACGCGCACGCGCACGCGTCTGTCTATATACGCACGAATCCGCTCTCCGCCCGTCCGCACGTCAGGCCGGAGATGTCGTGTTACGTCTCTATAACGTATACAGTTGCTCGCGCGCCTCGAACAAAATTATTCAAACACTACGTACGCAGAAGCGTAATAATTTGGCGTGGCGTGCCAGATGCACGCTGTTTGTTGTTAGTTCAGGGGGCCCACGGACGGCTAACTGGACTCTGCGTGCACGGTCGCTGCACCTGCTTCGTCGTAACTCATGCTGGTAAATGGCGCGTGGGAGCCCCGTGGCACGAGCCTCGACACCCGTGTATGCGGAGAGGAGCGGTGGGAGGGAGGAGGGTACGGGCAGACCCTGATCCTCTCCCGTATGTAACGACGCCTGGCTTTATTGTATTGGTTTTATAATTACATCGCTGTTTTCTATTACTATAACAGCGTGAGTTTTCGCCGGAAGGGTGGGTAGTGTGTGCATGTTGTGTGTTTGTGTGTGCGAATGTGAAGTGTGGAGAACCCCTCGTGGTATCGTTCATGCTTAAAACTAGGTCTAAAGCTATATGAAAATCTAAGTAAAATGTTAATGTTAGATGTGAATTAATTTGAGATATATTGCAAAAATATTCCTAGTGGTTGTATAGATTCAATTCAAACTTAAGTGCCTATTGTATATGTTATCCCTTAATTTAAAAATGTGTTAATTGTTTTGAGTATACATTCATCTACGTGTGCACACGCGTATGCGTGATTGCGCGTGTGCTTGTGTGCATGCGTGCTTGTGCATGTGTGTTTATGGCATATAGTTCTTCAAGAATCAGTATTTATATAACCCCTAACTGACGTTGAAAACGAACAGCGAATTCAACGAAATAATTTTTCCGGCTAATACGATGTCAATGTTGCGTCTATCATACCAAGTATCCAATAGTGCCCAGGGGAGAGCTCAACCCTATGATCCTCTCACGGGACGACAGATGTCGCTCGGCGCAGTCGGCTGCAACTAAAACAGGAAGTTGTTGTGAGTTTTTACAAGTCTTTACAACTGGACCGATGAGCGGCAGAGCACGGCCATAAATCACGAGAACTTCACAACAGGGCGGGCTCGGATGTCCATCGTTGCAAGTGCATGCGTGTCATCTCGCACACGCACGCACGCGCGCACACATACACACAGGCACACACACACACGTACGTACGCACGCACGCACGCACGCACGCACGCACATACACACACACACACACACACACACACACACACACACACACA